CAAAATGTCAAGCCATAAAAGGCGTCGTAAGTCAAAACTAGTACTTTAGATTCCAGCCAGAAGACTTTAGGAAGCCAATGAAGAGCTCAAAGCACAGCTGTTGCTTTCAAAAGCAGGCACCATTTAGCACACAGATCACTGCCTTCTGGACCACAACTTCCCTGTGATCTTCAAAGTCATCCCCATTGTAGAGTATATTGCATTAGCCCAACCATGTAATAGCAACAGCATGAGTAATTGTTGTTAGGTTTTCCTGCACAAGGGTGAGCTAAGAGTTCCCATCAATGGGAAACAGACTGCCAACAAATTCTGCAGAGCCACAGAGCTTCAAAAAAACCTCCCACTTGTCATGTTTCAAATAAATCAATGCAAAATCAGAAGAGATCAAACTTCTTGGTAGCACATGGCAAGCAAAGATGAAGCTCTCTCAGGTCCAGACTTGGGAGTGATGTTGAATGGCAATGGGAAAGAATTCGTGCAACAGATGGACAAAGAATTGAGACAGCTTCACCTCTGTCTGCCAAGTACTAAAGGGCTGGCAAGACCCCATGCAATATTTCAACACAATCTGGATTTTGCACAATAGATTAGATAAAGAAGCAAATGTATACTATATGTAATACAGTTTTCTGAAAGCATTGTGCAAGATGTTCTTCTATAAATCTACTGATATAATAGGATTTTAATGGTTTCTTTTTTAAAGGGGGACCTTGGAGTCCTAGTGGACGATCAGTTAACCATGAACCAGCAGTGTGCAGCAGCCAAAAAAGCTAATACAGTCCTGGGTTGTATAAACAGAGGCATAGAATCAAGATCACACAAGGTATTAGTACCGCTCTATAAAACCCTAGTGAGACCACACCTGGAATACTGCAACCAATTTTGGTCACCGTACTACAAAAAAGATGTTGAGACCTTGGAAAAAGTTCAGAGAAGAGCAACTAAGATGATCAAAGGCCTGGAGACTAAAACATATGAAGAACGGCTGCAGGACTTGGATTTGGCTAGTCTAAAGAAAAGAAGAAATAGGGGTGACATGATAGCAGTATTCCAGTATTTGAGGGGCTGCCACAAAGAAGAGGGGTCACATTATTCACCAAAGCACCAGAGGGCAGGACAAGAAAGAATGGTTGGAAACTGATCAAAGAGAGAAGCAACCTGGAATTAAGGAAAAACTTTCTGACAGTGAGGATAATTAACCAGTGGAATAGCTTGCCCCCAGAAATTGTGGGCGCTCCATCTCTGGAGATTTTTAAAAAGAGGCTAGACGGTCATTTGTCTGAGATGGTATAGGTTCTCCTGCTTGAGCAGGGGGCTGGACTAGAACAGGGCTTTTCAACCAGTGGTACGGGTACCACCTGTGGTACATTGGCACCTGGCAGGTGGTACGCGACCATCCTAGAAAAGTGGTAGCAGGGGAGGGAAATGAGCTGAACCGGTGGCAGCACCGCACAAGCCTGAGCGAGAGATGGCTGGAGCTGCAGGGCTGTCAGGGCTCAGCGGAAGCGCCAGGATCAGTGCCAGGCTCCAGCTGGAGTTTGGCACTGATCCTGGTGCTTCTGCTGAGCCCAGAAGAAGCGCCGATCAGCTGGAATGTTGCAGCCTCTCCAGGGTCTTGTGATTTACATTCAGATGCTTGGCAACTGATTCATATTTATGACGGTCACAGTGTCCCAGGGTCATGTGAAATGACCAAAACCTGCTGCAACCACCCAGCAGACGGGGGGGGGGGAATAAAAACCAAACACCCCCCACCCCACCCCCGCTGCTAATCCTCAACAGAAATGCTCACAACAATGAAAACCTCGGACAGGAGGAAGAGCGCAGGCAGGCGGGCAGGCAGGTGTCTTGCTCCGCTGTGGCTTGGGGGGCACTTTTTTCAGTGCCATTGTAACAGTCACTAAGCGAACTGTTGTAAGTCGAGGACTATCTGTAAATAGGTTTATTGCAAAAGAATCTTATCACTTTTTTCCTAGGTCATCAAGTTTTTGACATCTTGCTAGGTGACTGGTGGTACTCGGATGTTGCCATATCCTAAAAGTGGTACAATGGGTGAAAAGGTTGAAAAGCCCTGGACTAGAAGACCTCCAAGGTCCCTTCCAGCTCTATTCTATTCTTTAAAAAAAAGGCATTTCCAATGTTGCTTTCATTCTTTAGAAGCAGATTTTCACCCAGCCACAGGCTTCTTCCCTTCAAATCCTCAGAAACAAGTTTTTAATTCCTTGACATTCTTATAATGTTCAGAATTTCCAATGCAAAGTGAAGTTGGCAGATGTTGCTCAAATGGATAAAGTGACTTGTTTGATTAGAGAAAAGATATTATCTACATTTATTGGTGACTGGAGGTCTCTTATGGACTTTTTGCATCAAAATGAAAAATGAAAATGAACTTGTGATTCATAGTTTTGATAGGATAGCTTATAGAAAGAGAAGTAATGTGATCTATCTTTAGAGAGAGGTAAAATATATTTGTACTTACTGCTGTAAAGAATATCATAAACCATTTCTTTATACTCTTTTTCTTTCCTTCCCTTTGTATTTTTCTTAACTTTTTTCTTTTCCTGCACTTTTTGCTTTTTCTTTGATTTATTTCTTTTTCTTCCTTTATGTTAGTTTGTGTTAGTTTTTATCTTCTTGTTTAAATTTTTTTAATAAAAATTATATACAGAAAAAAACCTAGTGCTCAGAATTCCCCATGAACCAACCAGGAGATCTTTCAGCTGACTAATGACAGAGAGCAAAATTGGTTCTAGACCACAATGTGCCCATCTTTGACATTATCTTGCTACATTTATTTTTGCAGCAAGAATACAAGCCTGATCATTGCAAGTTGCCACCTGCAGATAGAGAAGAAACCCTGGAAGATAGGGTGAACCAGGAATTCCCAGCCATGTGAAATGGGCTTTTACTCAATTCAGCTGCAGGAGAGAAGTTGAACTGACATGGAACTACAGAACAGAGTCACATCTTCAATTCTGAACTACCAAGATTTATAGCCAGGTTTTCAAGGCATTTTCAACACAGCCAGGCTGATGGGAATCTAGGGAGATGCATTACCAATAGTTGTTGAAATGACCATGGTGAGGATTCCCAATAGCTCTTGGCCATTAGGTTGGAATTATGACTTTCATTCAGTTCTAGTTATGCTCACATGAGTATGTTCTTAGGAACTCCTTCATGCTTCTTCTTCCATCACATCCTATTTCCTTTCTTATTTTTTTCCCTTTTAGTGATGCTAAGTATAGAATTCACCAGCAAGAAATAATTGAAGATTATCATAAGTCACAGAGGCTTCTTGGTTGCCTATTAAAAAATAACTTTGATGAGTATGCAGTTTCAAGTGTTGCACATATTCCTTCCCATACCCATTCCATGTTACTTGGGAGGCAAGATTTGTGTGTGTGGGGGGGGGAAAGCTTCATCTTTGTTTTAAAGAAGTGACATACCTAAGAACTTACACAAGATGAAAAATGTGGTACATTGACGTTGGGTCATTTCCGTATAGCATATTATTATCAAAGTCTCCTGAATAGATTCTCCTTACTTGCTGAATAGTGAAGACAAATGTATAATTATATACCAACTGCACATAGAATTTGGATCGACCATTCATAAGTAACCTACTAGCAGTGTCAGCTGGCCTAGCTTAATCATCAATTTTACTCTAAAGTCAATATGTTATACAACATGGTCAAAGGTCTTGGGTTAATAATGTTTGTCTAATTTCCAGAAACGTTGAAATATTATCAGGATGACACAACATTTATTCTGCTTCTGGTGTCTTAGTCATTATTTCTTAATGGGCTTTCTGTGGAGGCTCTAAAATAGCTGAGAGAGATGGAGAGGATGGGAAAGCAGCTTCTTTCTATCCATGTCTTCTATTTAAACCAGAGTGAAAACAAAGGAGTCACTGTAGTAACATGCACAATGTATTAAAGGTTCTTCTCTCTCTTGTCTCAGTCATCCAGCAAATCTTTTGCTGTCTATAGAATATCGGAGAACAAAAAAGCTAGCAAAAATTAAAACATTTCTGCCACTTTCACAAAATGAATCAACATGCAAAAAAACCCCATTCTCCATAACCTTAAGGTAAAAATAAAATAATGGAAGGTAGAGATGATACCGGTAGCAAATAATTGAGGCTTAAAAGCAGGGGCCAGGGTTTTAAACTGAGGCTGGAAACGTTTGGGATATAAGTGCATCTATAAAAATAAAATAAAACAACAAAACTGGAAGGTAGTGCAATTGTGATGCCACTCTCCTTTCCTTTATTAAAGGACGAACATTGCATTTTATGGTCTCTTTACCATTTCTACTTCTACCTTGCAACCATATAAGCCATTTCAATATGATTGATGTGTTGTATATTAGATACAAACTTTGTCTTTAATCACCTCTTTACAATTCCTATATTTTTTCCTATCATTTAAGAAAAAAGGTTCAAAGGTATAACCTTTGGTCTCCACAGCAGCCAACCAAATGTACCCTGTAAAACTCACGAGGGCAATTGCACCCTGTCTGTCAGCAACTGGAATTCAAATAGAAGTATTGAGAGTAGTGTTCCGCTCTATAAAATAACAAGGCAAAGTCTCAATTCTCTTTGTAGGTCCATAAACCATAAATATTGCTTTCCAGTCTTCCATTTTATGGCCATCACTATTTTTGGAGTCATTCCAGAAGCTTAATTATGCACAGCATGAAGTGGCATTTATTTTAGTAAGTGCTGATACAGCTATGATTTAATTTCATCAAATGACTCTGAGTTTTATTATTATGAAAGAGGGAGATTTTTTTTCTTTGCTTTGTATGCGTTCACTCACTGTCACTCCACACCACGTCATGCATAATAATCAATAGTCACCATTTCTTCTAATGTAAAAAAGCTCATTGTCATAGCATATTCTCAAAGTAAAGTTGCTAGAGCTCTCCAGTCACCATCTTTTACAATTCTACAATATTTTTTTTTTAAAAAAAAAAGTCAAGAACCAGCAAATACATTATTTCATCTGTAATCATAACAGACTGGCAGTTTGTTTTCTATGTTTTTTCTTGAGATTGCCAATGTAAACCCTGCATTTTTCACACATGCCCGTATTAATTGCTGTTTCTTGGACTTATGTAATACAACCCTTTATGCATTGCTTGTCCCGTTAATATCTACACTGAAGCTGTAAATTCCTGGTAATCTATGTGTGCTTAATTGTCTGAAGTTACAAAACAACCTGATCAAACTAGTCAAAGTAAAGGAGTGGCTAAGTTTGTTGGGTGGAGCTGGGAAAGTACTACAGTTAGCTAAAAGAGAAGTAAGCATTTTGCAATCCATATTTTGAAGGCAAACAGTTTTGTACCAAGTAGAATAACCTAGAAGAGGTGAAATCTGTTACAAAATCAAGGACGATGGGCACTGCAGGGAAAGTAAGTAGACTATTATTTCTTTTCATGGTGATTTTTCATTTCTGAGATATACCACAATACAGAATTGTTTGCACTGTGGTTGGCAAATTGCCTGAGACGGATTCCAAAGTTTTCCTGTATTCCCCACTCACCCACCCTTGGCACTTTTCTTGTCAGTAGCGCTCTGAAAAACTCTGCATTTAATTCATAATTCATTCATAATTCCAAAAGTTCATTCCGTCTACAGCACAGACTAAAGGTAGGGTTAGAGGTGGGATTCTGTTCAACAGATCTCACGTGGGCATTTACATTAGGTGGACTTAAGCTCAATCCTTTGGTTCCTGGCTTTTCTTTTTAAAGTAAATCAAGCCCATTCTAATTAATTAAACAAGAAACGTTTCAATGGCTTGCCAACACATGGAACAGGAAAGAAGTAGAGGAACTGTTAACATGGATTATTCTGTAGCATGTCTGATTGTAGGAAAGGGGGTTGTCAGAGAGAGAATGTGGTTGGTCAAAACTGAGCTCAACAGTCAGCTAGGAAGGAAGGTATTTTGGATGCCAGAAGAATAGGCTTTTCTGTAAATATCTGATTAATCAATGAATGAGTATCTTCTCTTAGAATAAATAATCTCTTGCTTCCATTTTCTTAGGTAATCAAATGCAAGGCAGCAGTAATCTGGAAACAAAAAGAACCATTTAGTATTGTGGAAATAGAAGTAGCTCCACCAAAAGCACACGAAGTTCGCATCAAGGTAAAGGGAATAAACCAAAATCCATGTTAATGCAAGTTATTCTTATCTACGCACAGCCATCTCAAATGGGGTATGTTGAGGAGTACCACCTAGAATGGTTTCTTCATTCTTGGGAATGAGGGACAAGATCTGGAAGCAAAATGAGACAGATAGAATCCCTTAAGGATTACTTTAGAAGCACAGTTGTTCAGGAACTCCACGTGGGTATCCAAGCCCACAGAAGACACTGACTGGAAGAGAGACTAACATCTTGTGAAGGTTCAAGTTCAAATAAAGCTTTTCTCATTTTGCTAAAATACAATTAAGCATGATCAAAAGCTATGACTCACTTTGATTAATTAAAAAACCAGAACTTTTAGTCTTTATGGTAACTTTGACTTCCATACATCATATGAATCTTCCAATAGAATTCTGCTCATTTTTAGATTGCATTCAGTGCAACCAAATCTAGGATCCAATATGTCTGTACACATGACAAATGTCCAGATTCATAATCCACAGTCCTTGATCTTTGGTGCAAAGCTTATGCAAGATTTTTAGACATAATGTATCTGCACCACAGACTTAAAATGATTCTACTATACAGCAATTTCCTCTCTCTGCAGACTTGGAATTTGTGGTGGTGATCCAACAAAATCTAGGTTTTTTTTCCCACAACCTTGCTAAACAATCATTCTTGGGAATGAGGCAGCCCTGACAATAAAAAAATCCAGTTTCGGGTTTGGGGAAATCCTGGACAAGCAGTTGTCAACTTGGTTTCACCCACCGGAACCATAACATATGAGACCACAACGCTAGTAAGATATGACCTTACAACCTCAGTTTACAAGATAAGAAGCCCAATTGCCTATTGTGACACAAATTTATCTCCAATTGGGAAGATGAGGGTACCATAACAATGTCACTATCCTGTCTTTGAATGTCTTTGCCTAGTTGTGGAGCTAATATAATGTGGGTGAGCTGGTCACTTCAAAGATCTAAGCAGTTATCTGGTAAAACAGGCATGATCAGCTGTTGCTGCAATATATGTCACATGTTGGCTGATTGCACAATTTAAATGGGCTTGCAAGAGGTGAGTCTCTTTATAATTGCAGATCCATATTTTCATGTTAGGGAGGATCTACTCTGGAACCCCTTTTGTATGTAAAATGCTATGTGGACAGTGTTACTTCCAAAGGAAATAGGTGTTATGTTTCAAAATACAAAGAACATATCAATTCATAATGTAAGTGCTTTGTTGTTGTTAGTTGCAAAGTCATGTGCGACCCATCGTGACCCCATGGACAACGTTCCTCCAGGTCTTCCTGTCCTCTACCATCTTCTGGAGTCCATTTAAGCTCACACCTACTGCTTCAGTGACTCTATCCAGCCACCTCATTCTCTGTCATCCCCTTCTTCTATTGCCCTCAATCTTTCCTAGCATTAGGCTCTTCTCCAGTGAGTCCTTCCTTCTCATTAGGTGGCCAAAGTACTTGAGTTTCAACTTCAGGATCTGGCCTTCTAAAGAGCAGTCAAGGTTGATCTCTTCTAGGACTGACCGGTTTGATTGCCTTGCAGTCCAAGGGACTCGCAGAAGTCTTCTCCAGCACCATAGTTCAAAGGCCTCAATTCTTTGGCGCTCAGCCTTTCTTATGGTCCAACTTTCACAGCCATACATTGCAACTGGGAAAACCATGGCATTGACTATATGTACTTTTGTTGGCAGAGTGATGTCTCTGCTTTTTAGTATGCTGTCTAGATTTGCCATAGCTTTCCTCCCCAGGAGCAAGCGTCTTTTAATTTCTTGGCTGCAGTCCCCATCTGCGGTGATCTTGGAGCCCATTTCTTCCCCATCTATTTGCCAGGAATTGAGAGGGCCAGATGCCATGATTTTGGTTTTTTTAATGTTGAGTTTCAAGCCAACTTTTGCACTCTCCTTCTTCTCCCACATCAGGAGGCTCTGAAGGGGAAATTTAAGTTCTAGATAGTGCAAATTTGCAAGAAAAGTTAATGTCTTATTCTCAGGCTAGTAGCCTCTTGTTCTCCCCCACCCCTACCATCTGCAGTTGGATACAGTTAGACTACTAATTTATTTTGAGAATACCTATTCTTTTATGACTGCCACACTCAAATCTTTTCAAAGGACCAGATCAAATAAATGCCATAATCTTTCTTAAGAGGTTTAACAATATGGATGGAAAATTCTGTAGCTCCTAGAGTGAAGTTTATCCTAGCAACTTCCCCAAGATGAAGTGGAGACTACTTTCAAATGCATTGTGCTCAGTAATTCAGGAAAAAACACAGTGGAAATGGACTTTTGAATGGGAACAAAAGTATCAGGAGAATGGATTGGATTGAAATTTGCATCAGGCATTTTATGAGTGAGGCTGTAAACACACTGATGCAATATACAGTAACGCCCATAGGGATCTGCCCTTAAATTATAGTAATATGCTACAGCAGAGTTTCTGAACCTTGGCGACATTAGGATTTGTGAACTTCAACTCCCAGAATTCCCCAGCCATTTCCTCCCTATCTGGGGAATTCTGGGAGTTGAAGACCACACATCTTAAAGTTGTCAAGTTGTGAAACACTTCACTATAGAATCACAGATTTAAGAGAAGTTATTAAGGAATACACATCCAATGCATGGATCAGAATTAAAAATCCAAAGTAAAATGTGACTCACAAATTATTGTCTAGAGCCTCTGTTAAAACACAGCAAGCAGAGGAGGGCTTGCCATATCTCTAAATTGTAATAACCAACTGCTGTTTGTCCTGACATTCAATCAGAACTTGCCTTCTTGTAACTTAAATTTATTATTTTGAGTCCTGTGGTGAGAGAGAATAGGTTTTGTCCATTGTGTTACATCTTGTCCATTATTTAAAAAGTGCTATTGTAAGTCCCTCTACCAATCTTCTTCTCAAAGGTAAATATTTTTAGTTCTTTTAACTTCTCATAGGATTTAGTTTCTAATTCCTGGACTATCTATACTGGTCCATTTTGATTAGGAATACCCTTTGAGTATGATTTTTAAGCCAGATGTGTATTTGTCATGTCACGCAGTATCTCCTCAACTAGCTTACCAATGGACTTTCTTGAAAGCAGAACTTTTAGTAGATAAGGCAGCACCTAGAATATGAACTGATGCCAGTTATTGAGAAAATGTTGTGTTCTTATTCAAAGACTCAACTTGCTGCTAATGCAGTTTAAGGTACTAGGACAGGGGTAGGCAACCTTGGCTCTTTTATGACTTGTGGACTTCAATATCCATGCTGACTCAGGAATTCTGGGAGTTGAAGTCCACAAGTCATAAAAGAGCCAAGGTTGCCTACCCCTGTGCTAGGATATTTGCAATATGTTAAATCACCTGGATGTCAGCCACTTCTTAAATGATGACTTCTCCAACAGGTACTTGGCCCTATATTAAAGACACCTGCTGATGTCCTCTTCCAGGTGTTTCTGTTGTACGAGTTGACATTTATGTGATAGAACATATATGGTGTCACACTCCTAGAAATTTGTCATCAAGGAGGTTTACCAAGGCTAATCATTACTTTTCAATGCTAGGCAAAAATGCCGTTTAAGACCATTTTCTTTTTTAAAAAAATATTTTTATTTTCTAGCATTTGTTCACAAGTGCAGGATCCCCTTTTTGGGATCAATCAAATATTGATCTGTTAGTTTAAACAGGATTTGACTTGTCAACTGAGCCTGTCATTATAAGCTGACATTAGTGGCCCAAAGTCACTCAGCCAGCTTTCATGCCTGAGGTGAGAACATTGCTTATAGTCTCCTGGTCTCCAGCCTGGAGCTTTAACCACTAGGCCAAACTGTCTCTCATTTTTGTTATCTCGCTATTTAAAATGAACGAAGTTTTAGAAGTAATTTTTGTAATCTTTAAATAATTCCAATACTTATGTTTTTTTTAAAAAACTTTAACTGCATTTTTCTACAGGAAGTTACCAATTTTAATCATTGCACTTATAGCTCTGCCTGAAAATTGAGGTTCAAAGATTCAACATAGAAATCACATTACTGTAATTTAAGCCTAAAATAATATACTCCAATGAATTATCTTCTACCTTTCTTCTAGATTTTGGCTTCTGGAATTTGTCGCTCAGATGACCACGTTGTAAGTGGTGCAGTAAAGGCAAAATTGCCTATTATTCTTGGTCATGAAGCAGCTGGTGTGGTTGAGAGTGTGGGGGAAGGTGTTACCAGTATGAAAGCAGGTAAATTCAGAATTATCAGTGCAAAACCTTTCCCAGTAAGAATAAAATCAATAGGGTAACCAACCACTAGAAATTAAAAATGCTGTGCAGGTAGGTCTCAGCTTACAACCATTCATTCAGTATCAATTGAAGTTACAATGGCACCAAAAAAGTGACTTATGACTTGTTATTCACACTTATGACAGTTGCAGCATCCCCATGGTCACATGATGAAAATTCAGATGCTTGGCAACTGGCAGATATTTATCACAGTTGCAATGTCCCGGAGTCATGTGATCACCTTTTGTGACCTTCTGACAAGCAAAGTTAATGGGAAAGCCAGATTCACTTAGCAACTGTATTACTAACTTAACAACTGCAGTAATTCACTTAAGAACTGTGGCACGGAAGGTCATAAAATGGGGCAAAACTCACTTAATAACTCTCTTGTTTAGCAACAGAAATTTTGAGCTCCATTGTGGTCATAAGTCGAGGATTACCTGTAGGTATTTTGAGTTCAGAAACTTAGGGGTGCTATTGGAATTCTAAATGTAAATACTAGCAATAGAGTAGTAGTATCTCCTCAACTATATCCTATAATAAACCACAAGCATTTTTCTCTCCAGAACTAACTCTTAGTTTAATAATAATAATAATAATAATAATAATAATAATAATAATAATAATAATAATAATAATAATAATAATAATAATAATAATAATAATAATAATAATAATAATAATAATAAATATCTTTGCTATTTAGTTTCTGTGAGAAGCAACTAAATTTTAACACCATGTCTATCACATGTTCATAATCTGCATTAAGTCAGTAGCCTCCAACCAGGGACACCAGGGACCAGTTCTGTGAAAAGCGTTTTTTCGGCAGACCATGTTTTCATATGCTACCTGCATCACATGCATGTGTGGATGGGGTTTCACTCACTTGCATGGCCTGGTTCCTGGCTGGCCATGGACCGGTGTTGGTCCACAGCTCAGGGATTGGGGACCTCTGGTTTAAGTAACACATTTTAAAATCCAATAGTAGCAATCTTAAATTAGAAGGGAATTGACTGTTTTGCTGGTAAAATCCTGCCAACTATTGTGTTGATAAAATACTGCCTCTAAGCTCTCTGGAAGCTTCAGGCCCATTGATAATATCTTTTTCTCATTTTCAGGAGACAAAGTCATTCCGATTTTTCTCCCACAATGTGGTCAATGCAGTACTTGCCTGCATCCTAGAGGCAACCTGTGCAAGAAGAATGAGTGAGTTTCTGTTCTGACTTGTAGCACTACTGTTGTCCTGTATGGTAACCATGATCAATAATTCTGATTTTTCCCTCCCATATTTTTAAGCCTTCACACAGGGTCTGGATTAATGGAGGATGGCACCAGTAGATTCACTCACAAAGGAACAGTACTGCACAGTTTTGCTGGTACCAGCACTTTCACAGAATACACGGTGGTAAACGAGTATTCGGTTGTCAAAATTGATGCTGCAGCACCTCCTGAAAAAGTGTGCCTTATTAGCTGTGGGTTTTCTACTGGCTATGGTGCTGCCTTAAATGCTGCAAAGGTAAGCTTCTGATATCTCCGTGTTCTAGGATAGTGGTTCTCAACCTTTTTTTCACCATGGACCCCTATTAAATACCTTTTGTGACCACAGATCTCCAAGACTTAACTCAAGATTTAAGTCATAACATTTCTTCAAGCTTTTACAGACCCCCTGTGACAACATCCCCCCCCAGAGATCTGAGGGCCACAGGTGGAGAGCCACTGTTTGAGGACATGTCACTTATGAAGCTATAGTGCCATACATCTGCTCAGAATGGCTTGACTTCATTTTAATTCCATGGTGGAATTAGACATTTCTAGAAAATAAAAATGTTGGTGGCTGCAGACCAGTGTTCATTTTAAAGGTGTACTAACCTGCCAGGGAAAAGACCAGTTGAAAGGTAGAAGAGATCCTTTTAGGGAGATCAGAGATATTGATGGAAAGCATTTTCTCTAGTTAGCTTTGTAGAATATATATATTTGTGACTGGTCACATTTTATAGCAGCCATTCAATGAATGTACAATTCTCTCCATGGTATCCATTTTGTGATAATACACATGAGATGCTCTCAAACTTCCAGGTATATTTTTAGCCTGAAAAAGATTCATTAACCTTGTATTGGAGTTAGTATATAACCATAATGCTCCATTTTTTATTTTTATGCTAAAAAAAAGGTGAGGCCTGGTTCTACCTGTGCCATTTTTGGACTCGGAGGAGTTGGTCTCTCAGTAGTCATGGGCTGCAAGGCAGCTGGAGCTTCCCGAATCATTGGAGTCGATATCAACAAGGATAAATTCCCCAAGGCTAAAGAATTTGGTGTCACAGACTGTATCAATCCCCGGGATTACCAGAAACCCATCAATGAAGTTATCTTTGACTTGACTGGGGGTGAAGGAGTAGAATATTCCTTTGAAGCCATTGGAAACCCTGAAGTCATGGTATGTGAATTAAGGTAGTACCACAATGGAAGAACTAAGAGGGGGATGGGAAAGAATTTATCTCTTACTAAAAGTCGACTTTTTTGTGGGCCTTATTCCATTGCAGTAATTGTAGGGTACTAAGTAACAAAATGAAGCAGGGGTTTCATCTGGGGAAACCAGAAATAGGGTCTGATTATTTTTATCTCAATGGGGTGATTGCAGGGAAAGAAACAGTTTGCTGTATTACTTCTGCATCTCATTACATATAGCATATACATATAGTAGCAGGTACTGCACCTTTCAATTTGGTAAAGGAGTCACATGATAAGGAGAGCCAGTTTGGTTTAGTGGTTAAGGCACCATAATAGAGGAGACCATGAATTCTAGTCCTTTCTTAGGCATGAGCCTAAGAAGAAGGCAATGGCAAACCCCTGTGAAAATTGCAGGGATTGTGCAGCCAATCAAGACCAGGAATCAAGACTAATTCAAAAGCATGCACACACACACACACACAACTAGACAAACCAGTGGGATTTTGCCTTATGTTATACAAAACCTCTTTGTTCTTTAGAGACCTTGCCTGATTTAATATTTAGCAAAAGGCTTGAAAGGGTTATGTTCATAAGTGCCAAATCATCTTTGCAAAATCATTCATGTACCCACTGAACCTAGCAATTAAAACATTTTAAAATCTTGTGAGATCCAATTTGTAAAGTTTCCACTTTCTTACATAGAGATCTCAGAATGAGAACACCAAAATTTTGCAGGATTTTAATGATTTCATGATATTTTAATCTTGGAGATGAATTATTGCTGGCCCTTCCTATGCTCTAGGAAAAAAGTAAAATTAGTAAGAGATTCTATGGGAACATGGGTCCCTTTCATGGAATGATCAGGAATTCTCTTGTTCCATCCATTAATCAAGAAATAAGAAGTGGAGGTAAGTCAATGTAACTCAAAGATATTCACAAAAGGGAGGTTTCACATCCCTACTGTAGTCATCTGCCCCTACACCCAGCATTGGCCTAGAAAAAGAGAATGGAAAACTTTATGGTAGCCTATCATAGGATGGCATTGCCACAAAAGAGGAGATGTTATTACTGATACATTTGGAACAATAAAATCCTATGTGAAATGTCAGTGGAAGAAAAATTGTGGTTGGAATGGTAAACATTGACTTTCACATGATTCATGCTTATATCTTTGGGTTGACTTTAGATGTCTGCCTTGAATTCCTGCCAAATAAATTATGGAAAGTGCATCATTGTGGGAGTACCCCCTTCGGATTCTAGCATTGACTTTCATCCAGGACTTCTCTTCTCAGGCCGCACTTGGAAAGGAACTCTGTTTGGAGGTAGGTCCCTTATTTGGCTATTAATACATTCTCTCTCTCTGTTGTACCTTATACTATGGAAAGCTCAATATTACCAGTATAATGTGACCTATAATAGTTGATCAAGATCAACTTACCTTACAAACTGTCAGTGATTTCATCACCTAAGCAGCTGAAATTCTGTGTATCATCTTTTCCCAAACACTTAGTCTTCAGTTTCTATCATCCCCAAGTGGTATTGTCTATGGTTTTATTTGCAGCAATGGTAGTTGCATTTCGGCATAGTTGGAAAGCACCCGATGAGGAAGATGTTCATCCATACATTGCATCTAATGATCTGTCATCAGTACATTGCATGTAGATATTGTGATTTGTTCCTAACATTTTGTTTGCAGTCACTGGAATCTTGACAGACCACTTTTGCTTAAAAGTAATGATATGGTTTCCTATCACTTTGAGGCAAGAGACACACAAAACTGTTAATGTTAATAGATTTAACATATTTTAAGAAATGAATACAATTATTGAACTCTACCCGGAAACAAATGTGGAAGGAAAAAATGAAAACCCCATCTTTGTCAACCTATATTATACATACCATCTATTGTGCATCATTGACCCATCACATCAATCCTTACCCCATACTCCACCACCAAAAGGCTGTCCCGCTCTTTACTTGATCTTTTGTCACTGAATTATAGAATCAGATGTAATTCTGCTATTACTCACAAGCCCAATTGCCCCTCAAGAAAAGTTAGATGAGAGTTCTTATCATTTCTCTTACACTGTTGGTTTGAAGAGTTGGAAGACACCCAACAACCAGCAGAGTACTGCTTCTCCTGTAACTAGTTACCAAAAGGACCACCAAAGTCCAAACACAATATTAAATTTTGGAAATGATTACGCAAAATAGTAATTATATAAAACAGGATTCAGAAACTTTACCAGAATTTCAGCATGTCTGGAATACCTGACTTCTTCCGGGGATGTTTTTAAAAACTTAAAAGCAGAAATAACGGGGAGAAGAACATATTAACTCAAGTAGCAGAGCTGCTGGAAAAGGGGTTTAAACATTTCGCAGTAGAATGTTTCTGATTTTCTAAAAATGCTATCTTTCAAGATATTATCATTGCAGGGAAAAAAACATTAATCAGTTTGTTTTTTTCAATAAACTGCCTGAAAAGTTAATAGTAGTTGCAGAAGAAGTGAGTACTAAGTCTGGGGAACATCCCAAATGCCCCTTTCATAGCTTTAATTATTTTTTTAAAAAATTCAGAGCACCAATGATTCATCTCCTGCACTATATAAATGCAAACTGTACTGAGAAGCAGAGAAAAATCCATAAGAAATAGAATTAGAGTTCTCAAACTCCTTATGCAGCCATATGGTTGTTCTATTGCTGCTACTATTTACTTATTTATATCAACCTTCCCCAATTTGGTATTCTCCAGAAATGCTAAACTTGAATATTAGCATTTCTCAGACAACATGATCTTTAAAGTCCAACACTTATGGAGAACACTAGGTTAAGGAAGGTTGATTTTCAATGATGGTCCAGTAATCTTTACAAAAGACAGACATGATAATAATGTAGATCAGGGGTGTCAAACTCAATTTCATTGAGGGCCGCATCAGCATTGCGATTGCCCTCGGGGGGGGATGGGTGTGGCCAGGGTGGGTGTGGCCTACTGGGTGGGTGTGGATGGAGTGGGTGTGACCTACTGGGTGGGCATGGCCAGCTCTACATCATTCGTGTAAAGGATGCCTGTGGGGGCCTGGATAGGAGTGGGACAGATCTGAGGGTCTCTGGCAGAAGGGGGTGGGACCAGGGCAGAGCCCATCAAGCCAGATATGTGAAATAGGTGAGAGCCATTTGCTGGCCACTTCCAGGCGATGGTGCATTTCTTCATTCCTCACAAAGGGTGACACCTCCCCAGCATGCACCCAAGGGCTGGTTCCTCGCTGTTTCCAGACAGCCTTGTGGAGCTAAGACTGAATGCATTTCAGCATAGATGGCCACCACAAAATTGTACATTGGCTCCCGGCTGGCCTGGGCCAGGGCCAAGGCAGCAGGGGCCGTTCCCTCACTATTTCCAGGATGGCTTTGCGGGCCACATGAAACCACTTCACGGGTCGCATCCGGCCCCCGGGCCTTGTGTTTGACATGTTTGCTGTAGATCCTCTAATACTTTCTTCAGTTCATGGGAACAAATCTTGAAGCAAGAGCTTTAGAATGAGTTGGTTCCTATTCCTTGCCCTCTGAGAACCAGGATTTTACAAATGAGGAATAGATGGGATCATGAAAATTTGAACAGAGTTCATAGGTTATTCAATGCAGAAAAAAATCTGTAATTTATACAATAAATTCCTCAATTGACAGTAAATTCCTCAACTGTGGGATCAGCAGATCATCTGATATCAACTCTTATTAAGGGTCACTGCCTCAAGAAAAGTGTTTTTTTAAATGATATTTTAAAATTAATGCAGTATCTTTATGTCCTTTTTTACTTTCAGATTGGAAAAGTAAAGATTCAGTTCCTAAATTGGTGTCAGATTACATGAACAAAACGTTTATCCTAGATCCATTAATTACTCACACTTTACCATTTGAAAAAATCAACGAAGGCTTTGATTTGCTTCACTCAGGAAAAAGGTAAGACTTCGGGGTTTTTTTTTAAAAAAAGTTTTTTTTCTCCCAATTTAAAATGAATACGTCTAAGATAATGAACTGCATTAAGAAAGTACTCACATAATTAAAAGTCAAAATCCATATTGCGGAATTATTTCAGTTTTGCCAACAGAAGCTTTGCAAAATAGCTACATGCCTTGAGTTTCAGGCAAGAATGCCTAAATCCTAGAAAGAACAAAATTGTATTAGAATTTGAAGAAAATATTACTTTGCTTAGTTGTGTAGTTGGGATGATGTAACAGAGGTGATCATGCTGTTGTGGCTGCATCTTGAATTTTTAACTCCATTCCAGAGACCTCCTATTTCTTGTAGAAACTAGATTAAGGCTAAAGTTTTCGAATAATTACCATTTTATACTGAAAAATTAATTTTGTTGCCATTTTAATTCTATTAGCTATTCTGAACATTTTTGCTAAAGATGACAAATTAATGAATAGCATGTATTTCAGTTCATTACTGATCAATAAAGGCACCATTAGGGTGGTAATCAACTGAAATCAATGGTGATCCTTATCTAAAAGATTAAAATGTCACAGAAAAGAGCTTCTGCATATTTGTGCAATCATTTGCACCACCAAATTATTTGTTCCTCATACTTTCTATTAGAAGGCTGCAGCTGTTAATAGGGTCATCTTTTATGATGTACAAAAAAGCTGTATAGTGGAATGCCTCATTTACACAAGAGAATGCAGATTTATCTATGTTATTAATTCTTCCACTGAAATAATGGTATGTTAGAAAGGTTTAATTTTGGCACAATGAGTCCATTTTCCTCTGTTTTTTCTCTCCCTACTTTCAACCTGCCTTGAAAATTCTTACAATATTAATATATTGATAAAAAATAGTCATGAATAGTTATTATCATTGGGCTTACTTAAAGTCTGAATAAAATTTCTTGAATTTGCTGAGAAAAGAATTCACCACATTTAAATATAAACTATTTTCTGATGTTTCAGCATCCGTTGTGTCCTGACGTTCTAAAGTCTCTGGTTCTGAAGAAAAATAGAAAACCATCATTTCTGTCTCTGAATCCATCGGAAATGCATTATGCAGCATATATGCTTCAATAAGCCAGTCAACAGAAACAGAATTGTTTCTTTTCTTTCTATCTCTTTTCTCCCCATTCTGGTTCGTGTGTTGCTATTATTACTGCTGAATTTACCCACAAGGAAGACAACCCTGAAATTAAGGCAGTCCCATACAAAAACAAAGATTGGGCAACATAAACATGCTTAACATTCCTGTGTTTTGTACACTTTCCCTATTTCATCAGCTCTCTCTTTCTCTCTTTGAAGCAAATTCTAGCAACGTTTGTTCTCCTGACAAATAAGTACATGTTACCTACTTGCATTTGTGTGTTTATCCTGTCTGTACGCCAGTCAGTAGCTGCATTCTGAAAAAAACAATATGCTAGGATTTTTTTTAAGATCAATTCAATGAATAACGATTGGTTAATTATGTGCCCCTAAAACAAGATAGGAGATTTATAAAATTGTGTGCATGTGTGCTCATAACTTTTCTCTCACAAATTATTTTCACAACATAGACAAATAGATAGATATAAGGCCAGCAAGGATAAACTCTAATTCTGTACAAGGTGTAAGTTTCAGTAGCTCTTATGGCTAGGGAGATAGAAGTTGTAACTCATCTTATTCTCCCTAAATTGGGGTAAAAACTAGACTAGAGTATTAAGCTATATTTTTCAGTCTGTTTGCAAGGATGAAATAAGTTCAGAGAGATGTTTCTGTTGGGCTTCAAATCCAAGGAAACCCATGTACATTTAGTCTTCATTAAGTCTCATTAATAGATCCCATTTAAATATACTCAGGGCTTCCAGTTATATTGTCTATCTGGTAATTCATTCTGCTCGCGCTTCCGTCCTGCTCCTGCCATTTATAGATAAATGTATTTGGGGGAATACTCATCATCTTGGTTAAATGCAATAACTAAGCAAACAAATATATTAAATATACCAAAAGCTAAATAATCCAACAGCAGTAATGATCTGCAACAAGTTTACCTACTGCCAGTTCTAGAAACATAGATTTATTTTATCACCATTTCTGTGCTTCCCCCCCCCACACACACACTTTTTTAAGCAGCAGGATGGAATTTATATTTTTACAAATTCAAGATGGAAAATGATACACAGCTTTTTATTTGGTACAAATATTAATAGCTTGTGGCAGGTTCTTTTGTCATTTTTAATGTTGTGGATTAGAATATTTTTTTCAAGTATAAGTAAATAAAATAAAGAGAGCCAGTTTGGTCTAGAAGTTAAGGCACCAAGCTAGAAACAAGGCTACTGTGAATTCTAGTCCCACCTTCGGCATGAAAAGTCAGCTGGGTGACTTTGGGTCAGTCACTCTCTCTCAGCCCCGCTCACATAATAGTGTTGTTGTTGTGGGTACAATAGGAAGAGAAAGGGGTATTAAGTACATTCACTGGCTTGAGTTATTTATAAAATAATAAAGGTGGGATAAAAAAATAAATAAATTGGTATTATTGAATTGCCTCCCAAGTAATGCCAATTTGTAACCCAATTCATGCCAAGATGGAAAGACAAGATTGGAAGAAAAGCCAATGTTGGTGATTCCTTTACAGGTAGATTGATTATTTACATACACTTAAAAGATCACTACCATCAATAGCTGGTTCTCATCTTTCTCTTTCTCCTTTAATATAGAAGGGTGGATGAAAAGCTCAAGAGAAATACTTTATCACTCATAATTCTTTTGCAATTGTTTGGTACTCTTTATCACTCAAGAGTGTTTGGAAGAGACTTCACTTATAGATGGACCAATTTAGTAGAACATAGTCTAGATTATTTGCTATCACTGATGGATTTGAGGTACTATAAGGTTAATAATCTTGAGCATTCCCATATAATGATATTGTAAAATAATAAACCTTTTGGATCAGATTACTTGTTTATTTTATTTTTCAATAGTTATAAGGGTGCCTTCAGAAAACCCACAAACAAGGAATGAAGGCATTATCTATTGACATAGTATCACGCTTCAAAACACTTATTTTCACTACCATAGCTTATAGTAGCTATTCAAAGAAAAATCCCATCTCAGAAGTTCAGGCACTGAAAGAATCAAAGAGATATCTGGATCTATCGATCAAGGTACATTGGCAAAGATATCAGAACACTCTGAAAATCAAATTCAGAGGAACCAACAAATACAAGTACAGAAGTCAAAGGGTCGGGCTCCATTTTGCTTTCATTTCTTTATCTTTCTTCCTCTCACATTGATGGGCTGTCTGTCAAAACAAAGCAAGATTATGGCATACACTTGAAAGGAGACCAGGAAGCCTGTAATTGGGGAGTTTGTCTGGCAAGAACAAAGAATGCTTATTCACAGGGAATATGCACAACAATTCTGTGTGGTCAAAAAGCTGATAAAAGTAACAAAAGACTTAGGCATCTTGCAAGCTAAGCTAGAAGCTAAGAATAGGGATGGCCTGGAGCAAGGCTTTTCAACCAGTGGTACGGGTACCACCTATGGTACCTTGGCACCTTGCAGGTGGTATGCGACCATCCTAGAAAAGTGGTAGTGGGGGAGGGGAATGAGCTGAACCGGTGGCAGCACCACACAAGCCTGAGCGAGAGATGGCGGGAACTGCAGGGCTGTCAGGGCTCAGTGGAAGCGCCAGGATCAGCACCAGGCTCCAGCTGGAGCTCGGCACTGATCCTGGTGCTTCTGCTGAGCCCTGAAGAAGCACCAATCAGCTGGAAAGCAGCACTGATCCTGGCACTTCTGCTGAGCCCAGAAGAAGCGCCGATCAGCTGGAATGTGATTTACATTCAGATGCTTGGCAACTGATTCATATTTATGACGGTCACAGTGTTCCAGGGTCATGTGAAGTGATCAAAACCTGCTGCAACCACCAGCAGACGGGGGGGGGGGAATAAAAACCAAACAACCCCCCACCCCACCCCTGCTGCCAATCCTCAACAGAAATGCTCACAACAATGAAAACCTCGGACAGGAGGAAGAGTGTGGCCAGAGGGGGCAGGCAGGTGTCTTTCTCGGCTGTAACTTGGGGGGGCACTTTTTCATTGCCATTGTAACTTCGAACAGTCACTAAGTGAACTGTTGTAAGTGGAGGACTATCTGTACTTTATCACTTTTTTCTTTTTTTTTTGTTCATCAAGGTTTTGACACCTTGCTAGGTGACTGGTGGTATTCGGATGTTGCCATATCCTAAAAGTGGTACAATGGGTGAAAAGGTTGAAAAGCCCTGGCCTGGAGCAAATAATATGTGTATTGGATAACTCCTGAAGCATTCGTTAGCCAACGCATTGGAATAGGGACAGCTAGAGTGACCAATATAATAATTGTTAGATTATTATTGAAATGTTTATTAGATGATATTTCTTATATATCCCACCTTATCCCGTCTTCTGCTTTAGAGAAAATGTATAAAGCTTTATTAATTCTGTGGTTCTTGGTTCCTTGGCATTTTGGCCAGGATCCCTTTTCTCAGACCCGAACTGGTTGAAACCCATGTCAGAGAAGACATCCTAACCCATAATGATCTAAGCTAGAGATCCAGGAATTATGAGCAATATAGAAACTAGTGAAAGCAGATTAAAATTTATTTCATGGATCATGATCTCAATTGCATAGCTTCTGTGTTGGAAGGAAGAGATTATTGCATGAAATAGTAGCAACTAAAATCATCTGGGTTTTTTTTCCCCCTTTATCATATTCTGTCTTTTCTCCTTTTTTTGAACCTTGATATCATAATAAAAAATTGAAATCTTAGTGAATCAGTAACCTTCATTCTAGGGAAAACCTTTAGCATGCTTCCCTAAATTCAGTGGCATGTGGAGGATTGCCACCTGTTTCCTTTTTGGTAAACCATAGCAGAGTGGGATTTACCTAGGAAAAAATGACTGGTGGCAACATTACTGAGGTAGCTCCTAACTATTGTGTGGAAAGTTCAGAAAGGTTTGGATAGATAGCTTGGGCCCCTCCCACCAGCCCCCCACCACCACCCAGATGCAGCAGGGCCTACCAGAAACCCTTTTCAGTAATGGGTAAACCTACCATTGGGAACTCATTCAATCTTCTTTTGAAGCCCTGACCAACTTCTGGCAGCAAACATAAAAAAACAACAGTTTGATTTACCAGGAATATTTGTGCTGTTGCATTTTTAAGCAGCTACTAAGTTGAATTTAGAATAATTTGGAATATAATATTTGCTTTTTATAAAAAGTGATGTATATTATAAACTGGCATACTTGTTTATTTCTTTTGAGTATTTAGCTACAATCACCCATGTTAACTAGAAAATTATAGTATAAATGTTATAATTCAAACATTTCTTTTCAGAACATGAACAGTTTTCTTTGAGTAAGTAAAGCAGACCGTATAGAAATTTGAAAAATGTAGATGTTTCTTTCAGGCAAAACTTCTCAATTACTTCAACAATAACAATTTATGACAAAAAAAGAAGCTCTTAATAAGTACCCACATAAATTCCTCTACGGGTGAGGTCATTCTCCAGTATAGATCATAGCCACAGGAATATGTGGGATGGATTACTACATTCTAGTAAGTTCTTTCCCAAAATAAAATATCCTACAATGCCAATCCAGACTGGTAGAGAACATTGGACCAGGATTGACATATGTAAAACCAGGTCAGAGAAGTTCCCCTCTGGCTTTTATCACATGTATTCTAGTATCTTCAAATGCAGTGTGAATTCAGTGTAACTGGACGATGTGCCATTACACTGAGCTTCACTGTACAAGACTAAGCTTGCATAACACCCAATGTCATAGTTTTATGTTGATTTTGTAACTGTTATATAAAGAGAGCCAGTTTGGTATAGTGGTTAGGGCACATGAATTCTAGTCTCATTTTAGTCTTAAAATCAGCTGGTGAAGGACAGTCATTCTCTCTCACCCCTAGGAAGGAAACAATGGCAAATCCTTTCTTTGCCAAGAAAATTGCAGGGATTAGTCCAGTTGGTTATACCTTTAACCTAGGGATCTTCAAACTTGGCCCTTTTATGACTTGTGGACTTCAGCTCCCAGAATTCTTCAGCCAGCATGCCTGGCTGAGGAATTCTGGGAGTTGAAGTCCACAAGTCATAAAAGGGCCAAGTTTGAAGACCCCTGCTTTAACCCAACTCAAGTGTTAGTTTAAATGCAGGATATAAATTCAATAATATAAGCGGTAGTAACCAGCTGCCGGTTGGAATAGATATTACTGAAGAATTGAAGATAGTCCCAATTCCTCAGGAAAAAGCATCATACTGTTATTACCTATTAGTTTAATACGCTGCTTTTTCTCCAGCAGCACAAAGTATAGCAGCACACACA